GAGTCAGGATTTAAGGTTACTCCACAAAATAAAACATCTGAGATAGTATAATGAAGAGAAATACAACAAGACAAAACAAAATGACGTTTATAGTAAGATTTTCCACAGTTAGCTGCTTGTCTAGAGAAAAAATGAGGTTTAGCTAAAATACTGCCTGCCACAGATCCATCAAAACCTCCCCCAGACCCCAAAAAGGACCTTGAGATGTCATCTAGCCTGTCCCCTGCTCCAAAGGAGGAACATCCATCACTGACAGCAGTTGCAGCAGTTCACCAGCAGCACAGACATCACTGAGAAGCCACAGGAATGCCCTTCAGATCAGCAGCATCGAAGGAGAAATGGGTGGCATTCGGTATGTAGCAAACACATTCAATCAAAGCAGCAATGTAAGCCATTGATTAAACACAGACTGAGGTCGTGCTTCCTCAAAAGGAAAAATGCATGGCGTTGTGTTCCCAAAGCGAGGGACTCGTCCTTCAAGTGGCAGAAAGCAGAATGCTTTTAGGGCAGGTGGCACTTTGTCATGGTTGATCACTTAATGCTTTTTGAATCATCTTTCCTTTTTCATCTCTTTTCATTTCCGTGTGCACCTCAAAGTCTGAGGAAATGCTAAAAAGGAATGACTTCTGTTTAGAGGAGAAGTTGTCGAGAGTATGCAGATGGATGGAAGGGGCATCACAGATCACAGAATCATAGGACCATCAAGATTGGAAAGGCCACCAAGATCACGTAGTCCAACCATGCTGTAGGGCCCAGATTTCAATGGGAACTAATGATCTACTGTGGTCATTGGAGGCCCTGCTGTGCTGGGACTGCTGTAATTCCATCACTAAAGTTATCTGTCTTAGCAACTCGGTTTGTTTGCTCTTGCTTTATATCAGACTTTTGATTAACTATGCCTAATTTTCGGTGTGCTTCCTTAATGAATTTAATTGTGGTGAAAATTATGGGACTTCTGTGTGGGTGGAGAGGAAGAGTTACAGAAAACAGATGCAAAGAGTATTTTTTGCTGTTGAAGTGCTTGTAGGGTCTATATGACCTATGGTTAAGAAACTCTCCATAGTAAGGTGAGGGAAATCTTGGCTGCTCCTGAAGCACCAGCAAAATAAAACAAGAAGGCTGTGTGAAAGTGGAAATTCTTTGTATTCTGGGCTCACAGATGCTACCATTAACTTCACAAAGGCAGTGCCAGGGAAAGGGAAAGGAATGGAGTTCATATCATAAAAATATAGTTGGGAAAACAAACTAATCTTCCAATCCAGAGTACAGCTTACATCCTTATTGATCCTAAACTGAGGCACAGTGCAAAGGGGATTTTAGGGAAGGCTCTGTTGCTGTCAGAGAAGTGGGCTGAGATAAACTGATACTTCTCTAACACTGGTGGTTCAGTGAAAGCCGTTTCATGATAGTGGTGACAGAAGAAAGGCAGGCAAGTGTCATTTCTCATGGGGATGATGTAGAGATGATTCCTGGCTGACTCCCTTAAGATACCTAATTGCCTTTATTTTTTAATTATTCCATCCTCTTTTGGAAAGATAGCGGCATTTTCTTAGATAAAAAATGACTTATTTTGGAAAGAGTGCAATCCTCTTTCAACTGTTCTTGAAAGAAACAGTAGAAAACATCCTTTGCAAATTATTTCTCTGATTAGAGATGTTTTGTCTATTGCAGAAAATTTACAGAGGTTGAATGGAGTTCATGCTAATAGCAAGGCAGAACTTACAGCCTATGGCTGTATGGCCCTCTGCTTCACAGGTACAGCTGCTGCAGGCACTGAATTCACATGAGAAATTCATTCAGGCTGCAATTGCTTTTTTTGATGGTCATATAAAGCTAAGGTATGCATGGTGTGGGTACCTGCCAAAAGAATCTGTAAGTCCTGGCTACAGAAGTTGCTCACTCTGAGGTTCTTGTACTTGAGAAAGTTAACAGGAGATTTATCTGAGGGAGTTATTGTTGTTATTATTATCATAACCATCACTAGCTATAGCACTATTAGGTTTTGTGGATGAGCTGCAACTAATTCTTCACTGCCATGTGATCTTAAGGGATCACCACTTACATCTGAATTCTCAGTTTTTACAATTATAATTACTATGTTTCTAAAGACAATATTTCCAGTAACTAAGAGGTATTTCTTGATTTTCCATAATACATACCTCTTTCTACAGGAATAATTTTCCCTGTGGTCTACGATCTCAATAGTTGACGACAAAGCAGAGGTTCCACAGCATTATTTCCAGATGCACATAACCCTTTTTTGCACTGTTCAGTACACGTCTGTGCTTTCAGAGATCTTAATTCACAAAGGTACTTGGCTACACTCCTAGCTTTAGGCAGTTGAACAGTTCCATTGTCTTTACTGGGATAAGTGCTGTGTTTTGAGTTGAGTGCATGAAGAGACAGAGAACTTGCTGAAGGCAAAAGGTTATCTCAGCCTTTGTATAGGAGTTTGGTAGTATTTGTAAGTACCAAGTCTTTTTGCCCAAATAAGTTTTGTGTAGGAAAGTTCACTAATTTCCACATCCAGACTGTAAGCCTGAAAGTGCTTGTACAGCCATTAAATCCACTGTATGTAATCCAAATGTATGGAGTCTCAGAAGCTGTAGTCAATCAAAGTAAATCATTTCATATTATTGCTACTCATACATATATTTAATCCTGAACAACATCTTCCTGTCTCATTTAATGATTAATTTGGTGAAACAAATTCTGAAGTATTTTCTGCTGGAATTATTTTCCAGACAAGAACTGCCCTGCAGAACATGAAATGGAGCTGCAAATGTGCACAAAGCATGTGAAGCAGAGGCACTTGGCAGTGATAGGCATCTTCTTTTGCCATCAATTAATTGCCCTTCAAAAATGGTCACTTAGCATGAAGATTTGTACAGTGGGCATGCTTGACCCCCACTTCTATTCTGCTGTTTGACATCTGCGTGGGCTGACTGTGCAAGCAGTGTTCAGACTTCAGAATATGTAGGGTTCTGGGGCATAAGGGGACAGGACACTGAGCTATGGTGTGATGGCTCTGGAAAGCTAGGAAGAAGGATAAATATCCTGGCAAAGAAAGAGAGTCAAATTTAGCTCAAAATCAATTAGCCCAATCCATCCTCTTTGTAAGATGGAGCCCCATCCTCATCAGCAAAACTGTCAAGAAGGAGGGGAGGTAAGGATGAATATTCACAGCATAAGTAGGCACAGCACAGAGAAATAGGAAATGATGCAAACTCAGTTGCAGTCCTGTGTTGATGTACAGCTGTGAGGAGCAGAGACACATTGAAATCAAACAGAGGAATGTGAGTGCTTTCTTGAGATGGACGGGGGCATGAGATGGTAAAACTTTGCTCACTGCAAAAACTGTGCTGAAAAATCAAGCTGCAATCTGCCTGTGCTGGTGCTGGAGATCGTGCTGAGTGTACCTGAGGTGGGTTCTCCACGTTAACACGTCTCAGCCATTTCTAGATCATTCCCTTCTTTCAGGGAAGTCCTTTAGTGACTTGCCCCAGGTGTGAACCATGTATGCATTTGATTTTATTCCCCCACTACCGGGTGAGCACGTGGCCAGCCTCATTAAAAGTTGCCCCAAGGCCTTCAGTGCTTCTATCTTGCATTCAAAATACAGATTCAGCATTACTTCAGACACAGACCCCCCACTCATTCTGCACCTCGGTGGGCGCAGACGGGAGTTGTGACAGCACAGTGCTGTGCCAAAACCTGAGCTCGTGTATCCTCCAGCGTGCGAGCTGATGCTTTCACTGCTGCCACATCGGCGGTCACCTAAATCACACTGTAAAGACCAGTCAGTGAGGAAAACCAGAATTCTCCAAGGAAATCTTTGAAAAGAGAGTAGGGTAGAGCTGACTTATGGGCCACCATGCTAATAAAAGCAGAAGCAGCAAATGGCAGAGGTGAGTGAGAATAGCTCGCATTTTGTGAGAGTGTTGCGGCGGAAGGGTGGGTGGATGAGTGCTCAGAGTGCAGTGAATGACGAGCAGACCTCATCTGGGTGATGTTCCTTTAAGAAAGTGACCTCATCTCTAATGTAAACTGCATATAGAGGTATGTAAACGTTTTTACTGGCTGTAAAAATTTATAGTCAATAGATTTACCATCCCATAAAACCACAGAGGAATAACGGAATGGAAACATGCCTGTGTCCCATGCTAGATTCTGCGCCCTGAGCTTCCACCTCCCTGTGTCTGAAGCAGGGCTGTCTGCAAATAGCTGCATCCTATGGGCTGGTTGTGATCTCAGACCAGTTAGCAAGGTCTGTTACAGAGATAACATGCCTGAAGTCCTTTTCACGCCTTGTAGCTGGATGACTGTTACAACACCCTTTTCTTTTTTAAACAACCTTCAGAGTACACCACCGTAGATGTCAGATCTCTCAAATACAGTGAATTGTTTGCATGTGTATTTTTGGTTTGCTTAGGGTATGGAAGGGATACTTCCTGCTTTAATCAACATTAATGGAGCCGGGCTGAGAGCTCCCCACAGGTGTGCCATATGTCATTGCTTAACTTGATGGCAGCACCACCTGTGCCATCCTACCCTGCCATTCCCCATCACACCCAACTCCTCAGAAACTACACCCAAAGTTTTCATACGGTTTCATCCCAGTAAATCAAGCAGTTTGTTTTTTCTTTTTTTTTTTTTTTTTTTTTTTTTTTAACATCTCTAGGGAAATGCACTTTAAGGACACACAGAGCATATAGTGGGGAATTTTTTCCCGAAGCCAAGTGCTTGCTGCATCATGTCCATTCCCACTGCTGTCAATCATTACCCAGCCAGCACATTATGCAGAAGGTGGAGCTGTCAGGCAGTAGGAATAAAAGGTAAGAAAAGCCAGAAGGCTCCTGCTTGTTGCAGATGCCAAGGGTGAGTGAGATTATGTCAAACCTTTACAGTCCCCTCTCCCCGCCCCACCCCTCACCCTGCCCCTATATAAGTGGGCTGCAACCACCAGCACCTACTCTGCCTTCCTGCCTGGTGCCTGGGTGATGGATGTTCTCCCCAGCAGCCCCTTGGGATGGCTCTGTGTGGCCGTCCCTGTGCTTTTTGGGCTTTGCTTGGCCAAGAGGAGATACAAAGCCCATGTGCTGCTCCGAATTGTGCTGCCTGCCTTGCTGGGACTGCTGTGTGTGGCCGTGCTGGGCATGTGCTGGGGGCTCATAGTGTTCTGCAGTACATGGCTCAGCTGCTCGGTATACCTGGATGCAGGGCCACTACCTGTGGGTGACAAAGCCGTGCTCATCACAGGTAAGGGGCTTGGGGAACAAAGATGGGCTCTGCATGAAGGTGTGCTGGAAAAGTTTCTGCTCTTCAGGTTGGAATTCTCTGAAATGTGTGCTTATAGGCAGTGCTTCTAGTCTCTTCTTGTTTTACTTGATTTTCTGGACTTGTTTTCTTTCTTTTTCCTCATTCTGAACTTAAGTAGAAAAACATCTTAACAGATGCCATTATTTTAAGTATTTCATTTAATCCTTACAAGTAGCTTTTCAGATATGCTTGTGAAAATGTCTGGTTGGAAAGAAAGCCCACGAGAATACTTACAATGGGCTAATTGTTGAGGAGAGATGTTAATTTCTGGGAGCCCTCAAAAGACTCCACTCATGCCTTACTTCAATTTGCTGCACTGGATGCTGAGGTACCGCTGTCTTCTGATGCACTGTGTACACTGTGCCTGTAATTCAGGGCACTGCTTTGGTGCTGTCTCTATGACACAAAGTGTGTTTGGGAGTGAGTGATTTGCCCCCCTGGCAGGGGAAGCTCAGAGCTAATGACTTCGCTCTGTTCTAATGCTCTGAGCTACTCAGAACCCCCTTTGTTTTTCAGGGGTGGCATTTTTGTAGTTTTGTGGCTGTACTCTTGTTTCTTCTGAGACTTTCAGTGTTGCTGTCTGTGTTAATTAGTCTTCTGAAGTGGAAAGCCCACCTACTCATTCTTGCACTAACTTAAAAAAAAAAAAAAAAACCAAAAAAAACCCCACATTTTTTTCTGTTTTTCCCTATGGAAAGCTGAGTCAAGTCGCTTTGGATGATTGAGCTATTTATTATAGTATTTCACTGTGTTTTATAGGGACTCCTGGAGGTAATTTAGAGCTCCCTGACAGCACTGCTGTGGGGATTAAATACAGAACTTGGAGCACAGGGCAAGCATGGGATTTCCTCTCTTTCTTTCACAGCCAGGGTGAAGCCTGGGCATGGGAAGGGGCAGTGCTGCTCTCTGTGAGCTGTCAAGCAGTTCTGTGAGCAGTTCTTCAGGGAACACTTCAGAGCTTATCTCTAAAGGGCCAGAGTTTAAAACAGTACCAGGCAGGGAAGAGCTCTGGGTTACGATGCAGTGACTGTCTGCTTTCTTTGTACCTGTGCTGCAACTGTCCCAAACAAATACAAGTTCAGACACCTCTGGCAGATGATGCAGCTGCAGAAGCTCTTCTGGGTCGTCTTGAATCCAGATGGTATGCAATCAATCAGACCCTCCTCAATCAAAATGAAAGTTTTAATCAATGCGATTCCCAGTTGCTCTGCCTGCAGTGCTTACCACCCTCCCCCAGCTTTTGTGAGAGAAGACACAGGTGCACAGTGCCCTTAAATCAATTTTGGGTCCTTTTCTCCAGTTTAGAAGAGACCTGAGGCAGGTATTTCATGGGAAATGATTTCCTTGCACCATCTATCCCTGTATGGAGTGCTGCAGCTGCCCCGTGTTGCCCACGGCTGCCTCTGGGTGGAGCACACAGTGACCTCAGTGCTTCTCTAGGGGCTTTCAGATGTGGTTCTGGTCATCGTGTACTGCTGCTGTTTGTAATTCACACCAGCAACTTGCCAGCCTGGTTGTCCAAATGCCCTTTCACACAAGCAGCTGCAGGTGTGTGAGCAGTCTGAAACACAGATGGAACATTTCTATTTACCCTCATGCTGGGACTGAGTGCTTTGCTGTCCACAGCTGTGGCCCCAGGCACAACTGGGTTTTATAGACCCAAACTGAAGATGCAGGGTGGCAGGATTGTGAAATTCTTGCCTTGATTTTTTTGTGTGTTGAGTGGGATGAACTTCTCCAGCTCAGTTGGTCTTTCCCTTCCTGGGGGAAATGGTGCCCTGTGTTCCTGATGCTCAGGGTGAGTTGAAGAGAAGTTCTTAGTAATGACTTGGTTGCGGTCTGTACTGACTTCCTCTCTTAAAACAAGTTTTCTAGTGATTCACAGATGGCTGTTTTGTTTGTGGGGGAAATATCTAATTCCTCTGCTCGCTCCCCAATTCAAGCTGTGTTGTAGGGCTTTTTCTTGTGGAATATGCAGCTCCATGTCTGTGTCCCTATTGGAGAGGATGGAGGAGTTGAGATTTGAGCCAGAAATCTAATTCTCAGTAGAAGAGAGAAAGACAGAGCACCCCTGCTTAACCAGAAATCCATCACGTCTTTGAGGTATCTGCAGGCCTCCTCATGTTTCCTAGGGATTTCCAGGAATGTAGATTTGTTCATTTCTTCCAGACCAGGGCCGTGAGAAGTGAAATGTGATGGATGTCATGGTCTGGTACATTGTCAACAAATGGTGGATTTTAAAAATGCCAGAAAGCATTCTTTAAAGAAGGGATTCAACAGAGCATGAGTAATTTGTTTCAACATGTGCTGATTGATCCAAGCACTGAGTACATGTTTCTTCCAAATCACCTGGAATTAATTTCTTATCCACCTTTCAGTACTAAAGTCTCATGTAGGAGATAAAACCCAGAAATAGAGATCTAGCACATGTTAAGATGAGTCTCCTTGGCACTCAAGCTCTGTTGACTGAGGATTATGAGTGCAGGAGCTGGTCCATTATCAATGGTTGTAATAACTGCCTTTGTGTACAGCAATTGCAGATTAACCCTCATAGCTTTCTGGTAAGGTTACATGGGGAGACTTGCCCTCCTTTGCAAATGAGGAAAAGGCAAAAAGCCAACTGAAGTCCCATCCCTTTGTTTCATGTGAAGGTTTCCACCCATGTTGCAAATGGCTTTAGAAGTTGGGCTTACTCAGTGGGAGGATATGTATGAGCCTGATTGTTGCTGTGTACTTACTTTAGTGATGTCTTGTGCATTTGGCAGTTTGTTGCTTTATATGTAAATATAAGCGTTTACAAAGTTTAGGAATAAGTCTGATACTAGAGAAGATTAAAAAAAAAAAATCTGATGCAAGTTTGCACAAATCAAATAGCTGGTGTAACTTGGTTTAGCCTAAAAATGCCTTTCTGGAGTTTCCTTAAGGCTTGAAAGCTTTGAATCCTTTTGCAGCTAAAGACAAAGTTGCTTAGCTTTAGCTTGGTGGTAGCCTGCGGCTGAAAGTATTCATCAGAATGATTCAGAGGGTAGATATTTGAATAAAACAACACAACTTCTTGAATTAAGATATATAATTCAGTTGAATTGCAATGCCCTATATAATGCTTTGTCCAAATGAGATTTCACATTAAAATCTGGATTTTCTTTTTTTCTAGGTACTTTCTTATCAGGTTTCAGTTTGTGTTTTGTATTAAATCAACTTTATTTTTCTGTGTGTAAGGAATGAGTCTTAAAATCTCTGTGGGACAGAGTAAGCAGTTACTCTCAGCTCTGAGTGAGAAGGGGATGTTCTGTTGGTATTTACTGAACATACGAAGGACCAGCTTCTCACCTCTTTACACTCTCTGCTCTCTTTCTGCTCTCATGCATTTCAGTCATTTCCTTTCATCTTCCTTTTGGTTACATCTGTATGCGCTTTCAATCAAAGCTGCCTCCCTCTGTGTTAGTGATGATGATGACTTAGACTTGAAGTGTCTTCTCTGTCCTTGAATTCTTTCAGGAAGTGACACTGGGATTGGACATGCATTGGCCAAATACCTGGATAACCTGGGGTTCACTGTGTTTGCTGGAGTTTTGAACAAGGATGGTCCTGGAGCTGAGGAGCTGAGGAGGACCTGTTCCCAGAGGCTCTCTCTCCTACAGATGGACATAACCAATCCCACCCAGGTCAAGGAAGCCTACCTGCAAGTCTCAGAGAAAGTGCAAAACACAGGTACAGCTTTTGTGGCATTGTATGGGATACTAATCTGTCTCTTACCTGTTGGCTTCATCGTGTCTTACGTATGTGGGTTATTTCCACCCCAAAGTCTGTGGCAGCTAAGGCATGTGTATTTTTGTTTTGTCCTCTTCCCAGGGCTCTGGGGAGTTGTGAACAACGCAGGCATCCTGGGCTTCCTTGCTGATGGTGAGCTGCTGCCCATGAACACATACAGGCAGTGCATGGAGGTGAACTTCTTTGGGGCTGTAGAGGTGTCCAAGACCTTCCTGCCACTACTGCGGAAATCCCAGGGGAGGCTTGTGAACATGTCCAGCATGACAGGTGAGCTGAGAGCACCAAGGGAGGGTCTGGTACAGAGGAAAAGCAATTGAGGTCCTTGGCATAAGGGCTGAGGAAGATGTTGGTTGGTCTCGCCCATAGACATGCCCAAGGAATTAGTACTTAGGTAATCAGTGCAGGCTTCTGTTGAGTAGGCTGTTTTCAGAAATCAGCCCTTGAAGAGGAGTTTAAAATAATTTAAAAAATAGACTGCTATATAGAACTATAAAACTCTGTTCTTGTGTTGTAGGTGATAGTTGCTGTGAGGGATAGTTCTGATTTTCTTCTAGGAAGATGGGCAATTTTCTAGAACGCATTCCAGTAGAAGTCTGCTAACACCTCAGTTTGTGCACCCTTGAGCCACACCATGGTGATGCCCAAAGGTTTTTTGACTTATGCTAGGACAGGTATTCTTCCACTTAGGCTGGTTACAGCCAAATGCTCAGCTGGGCTATTTTTTTTTAATACAGTGGATTGAAATTCAAGTAGAAATAGATTTGGGATAAATTCATGACATTTGCGTTTACTATAAATGCCTTTATAATATAACTTTCTGTTCTGGGATGACAGCTGAGTTGAAGGTGTAGGAGGGGGAGTAATAGCAGTATCTCATAGCATTCCTGCTCCTCTGCTGTTGGCTCATTTGAAAATGAGACCTGCTAGCACACGATATCATGATGCTGGAAGGTATCCTTGCAAGACCTCTTCAGAGTTTGCCATATCACCTGCTTTCCAATTTTTCCTTTGTCCTGTCTGCTTGGGTTCTCACTTGTGTGTAGTTTGTGTCTGCTTGAATCCTGCTGTATTGCCAAGGCATTACCTTCTGCTTGTGGCTTACCTTAAGGATGTGGCATCAGCCTGGCTGTGGCATTGTCATCTTCTGTCTTTTTTCAATTCCAGGAATGCTTTTGTACATGCAGACCCATCTTAATGGCTCATTGCTAGCAATGAAGTCTTTTTTTAAATTTTTTTTATTAATGAGGGACCATTGCCCTTGCAAGCTCAGAAATACAGGACAGATCTGCTTTCTGAGCACCCAAGTGAAGCTTGTATTTTAGGTGTTTTGTGGCAGATGTCTTGATTCTTGGCACAAGTCCTCAAGCTGTCTTGCAGGGATAAACAGATCTTTCCTATTCTGAATAATTTGCTGTTAAAGGAGTTAATAATGACCTTGCTTAAACTATAGATGTTCACAGATGTTCTGATTTGGGTAAATAGCTTCCTCTCAACATGGGGTCTGAGGGTCCTTTGGTAAAATATCAGCAGAAAAGTTAGTGAGGTCTGATTGTGCTGAGCCTATTCCTGCCTGCAGAGAGCTACATTAACTGGATTTGAGGTTACCCTGACCTGAGAGGGAGAGCATATGTGATTCAATTGGCTCAAACCAATTGAAACTCATCTTTTTTCAGTTGCATACAGGAGAAAAATTAACGTATGATTGGCCTGACTTCTTTTCCAGGAATGATTCTGCATGTGGAGCTCCTGTAGTATCCTGGTTCTTACAGTTAAAAAACAAAAACCAAAAACCTCAACAAATGGCACCGGTGGCTGATTAGGAAGTTTGCCTACATTCAAAGATTTTCTTTTAAAGCTTCAAATATACTCAGACAGAATGTTATGCCTGAAATGGAGGCTGTCCCAGAGGTTTTGCTGGGCTGCCGATGCAAGCAGGAGTGGTGTGCCTGAGGAAAAGGGGTGCCTGGTTTTGTAAAGCTGGAGTTGAGATTACTTGCTCTGCTATAACTGTAGTTTATAATAGGAGCTTGAAATTCATGCTATTGACAACAGGAATAGCAGTATTAATCTATCCTTTCACTGTTTTTATGAAGTAAAGCATTATCTGTGTTTTGGAAACCAGCCGTTGTATTGCATTTGAGGGTAAAGAGTGCTGCAAATTACACTTCATGTTTTCTGCTGTAGATGATATCTTACAAGGAGTTACTGAGCATAAATGCTATAAGCAACTGCTAATTTACAGCTCGCACTTTTTTTAACCTCCAGAAAGAAATGATTCCCTCACCGACTTGTCTTTAACCTCAGTGAGAGCCACGTAATTCTGGTTGTGCTATAATCTTCCTTCTAAATCACTGAAATAAAGGCTGGAAAGAGCCAGTGTTAAGCTTTATCATGTTTATATTGCTCCTGCAGGAGGCATTCCGCTACCGAGGTATGCTGCATATGGAGCATCAAAGGCAGCTCTGTCCATGTTTTCTGGAGTAATGAGGCAGGAGCTTTCCAAATGGGGAATCAAAGTTGCTGCAATTCATCCATCAGGCTTCAGAACAGGTTGGTGTCTGACACTTTAGATAGTTCCTGCCTCTCTTTTCCCGCAGTCTCATGTCCTCAAGGAGAGCTCTGAATGAGTCTCAGCACTTTCCTCTTCCTCATGTTGATTACAGAAATTAAGGTGTGTGCACTTTTGACTGCTGCTCCCCTCCAGGTCTCATATCTCTGCCTTGTGATCCAGGGCAGAGGAGTGAACTCTTTGCTGTGGAAGTGCTTGAGCAGAGGTCTGTATTAAACAATACTGTAATCTTGTTATACCTTTCAGGTGATAGTGCACAGTTTGTCTTCAGAATCTCTCTGTATCCTCCCTCTGGAGGGGAGGCAAAAAAAAAACCCCAGACATGCTCAGTACTGCCTACTCAAAGTTCTGGTGACTTCACAAAGAATTCCTATGCCAGTGAAAAGCAAAACATGTATTCTTTTCATAAAAGCTCTCTCCCTTGAATGCTTCCCTTCCCGTGTGACAATGGGCTCTGCCAATATCCCCAGGTTTCTACCTTCAGGAATCTGCTGTGCTATTGCCAGACTCTTAGATGGGAACTTCACCTGTCAAGACAAGTCCCAGTGTTGGTGCTGTAAATATTTATTTAAAGATAGGTCTTTATTTGCAGTGCTTAATTCATGATTTATGCAATAAATGCATTGGAAAGCAACTGCTTTCATTCTTACATGATGAAAATAACTTGTTTTAATCTAATACCAGCTTCATTCTTCATGAAACAGCTTATTAAAATACCAGTGCCTCTCATAAGAGTGGCACTGGGCCAACCCGATTTAATCTTGCCCATCTTACTTTGCCTCTCTCTTCTTTCAATGAAGTCTCCTATTAATAAACACTAATTAGAAATACCTGTTTAAAAAAAGAGTAAGGACAGAATGACATGGGAGGGAAAAGATACTGCCTCTTTTGAGTAGAGCTGGTAACAGAACAGTGTATTAACACCATGCAGGTGTAACTAACCAGGTGTTTTGCTCTTCCCTTATGCAGTTCAGAACTACTGTGCCTCGGGGCTCAGTGGTGGGAGTGCTTATTGCCTACAAATCATGGCTTAATTTTTTTTTATAATCAACCCCAAACTCACTTTCAACCATGGCGTTACTGCTGCAGGTATCCAAGGCACTTCAGAGCTGTGGGTGAAGCAGGAGAAAGAGCTGGTGGAGCACCTCTCAGTGGATGTGCAGCAGGACTATGGCAGGGACTACCTGCTGGGGCTGAAAAACTACCTGCTGCGTATCCCTATGTACTGTGATGTTGACCTCACCCCGGTGCTGAGCTCCATCCTGCATGCACTGCTCGCCAAGCGACCGCACGGCTTGTACACCCCCGGCAAAGGGGCTTATGTGCTGCTCTGCATCTTCTGCTACTTCCCACTCTGGTTCTATGACTTCTTAGTCAGTAAGTCGCTGGGACTTGAGTCCATCCCAAAGGCGCTGAGGGCATCAGAAGCTGAGAATGAGGACCTCTAAGGTATCTACTGGCATTTATCAGATTTGTGATCACTGTGGAAAGAACTCTGTTTTAGGGCTCTGCTAATTGTTGTACTGCCTTTGGTATATGGAGTTTGAGTCGCCTTGTGAGTGGAGTGAAATCTCTGTGTTAAGAGCAATGTTCAGGAAAATGGTGAATAAACAGATAGGAAACACAGGAATGGTCTTTCTGGAATAACTGCAGTGTTTCCCTGTCTGTCTTTGGTGTAAGTTATCTTATGAGGTTATATAGCCCTTGTCTGCTTCAACAACCAGTACCAACACGTGGACAGATATCTAACCTGATTTTCAATCTTTTAGTTCACAACCTTTCTAAACCTTAGAAGCTGCATATTCCCATCACTTGAAAGACTTATAAATGTTTAATGTACATCCTTTTCACTGCAGCTTCAGTATTCCTTTCTCTATGGTTCTCTTGCTGTTGGACCTGAGACATGATTGACTTTTTTTTTTTGCCCAAGTTCTGTGAAGTATTGTTGTGATGTTTATGATGTGTCCTCTCTGGACTGAGCAACACAAATAGCATGGGGGGAGAGGAAATGAACAAAGACAGATGAAGATTTTCACCAAGATGCCAACCATCTCTTTCCTGCAGTGTATTACTAATAACAGTGGTGTTGGCTGCTAACTTCATGTCACTGTTTAGCCTATTTTGCTGTTTCTGCTTCTTTATCTGTAGTAACTAGTAAATTGATCTCACTTCTCTCTAGATAATACTTTATTCAGTTTTGTGGTTAATGAAGATTCATGATTGTTCACTTTTTCCTGAACACTTGCCTGTTTTTTCCTGTGTTTTCACTTGTCCTGTGAGTCTTGTGCTTTTGGTCACTCCTCCTGAATCCATTTGTGGTTGCCCTCCTCAGCATTCCATAGAACCCTTTCCTACACCTGAAGTTGAGCAGTACTCTGTTTTCCTACCTGGTCCCCTTCTTAGCATCACTTGGCTTTGTAAGGCTGTAATGTTCTGGAACAAGCCCCATCCCTGAGTTCCCTGTATCTTGCTTTGCTTCCTTTCATGTGATGAAGAGGAGAAGCTGTTAAGTTCTGGGCTTTCAATATAGGAGCATTTTTCCTATCCTCATATTCTCATCTTCTGTTATAATCCTACTTGTGATTACATAGTCCTGATCAAAATCCAATTAAAATTGTGCTTGTAAACTTCTGTCTCCTTTGTGTGCCTCATACAGCAATACCAGACTCTCTTTGTGCCCAGAGGATGCTCTGCAGACTTCGCTCGCTGTTTCAATTTGTGTCCTGGTTTGGAAATCCTCCTTTCCTGTACACCCTGTTGTTATTATTGCTTTTATCTATGGTGGCTTTGCTCCTTGTGGGTTTATATCAGTCCCACTCATAGATGTTTTTTGTGCCATCCTTTCAGGAAAGTACAACAACAAATGTTTCTCGCTCAGGAAGTCTGTGACTGTTTCAATCTCTGTCCATTTCTACCTTTTATTTACTTCCCAAAACTCTTTGATCTGCCTCAAAACGTATAATAAAATGGATTGCTCTGACTCTTCTGGCTCTGTCTTGACCTTGTACGCTACTGGGGACGGCTACAACCAGCAAGGGCTGAATCCTGGCTGCCTTCAGAGTGAGGGAACTGCCTGACGCGTCGTCTTGTCTCAGTCCTGGATGGAGGTGTTTGTTTTCCACTTTGCATCAGTTGAGCTGTAACTTGGGTTGGCTGGAGTTTGGCCCTTAGGTGCTTGCAAACATTATAAACCCAAATTCCCCTTGGCAGCCAGTTCACTTTTTATGTGGCAATATTCATAATAATCCTTAATCACTGCTGCGTTATTTGGCAGCAGTTATAAAATGCAAATATTTCTCTCCTTTGCTTCCTTAACAGAAATATTACCTTTTGTGTTGCAGACCTATAAAACTAGGTGTTCACGTGTAGGATTTGATTTTTATTTTTAAATTATTTTAACTTTTATTTCTTGGGAAACTTATATTCTAAATAGCTATTTTATACCTCCTCACCTAATGAGGAAGGTGCTTTAGCCAGTCCCAAGTGATTGTGGGCTCAAAGGTTGCTAGTGTTTCATTCCTATGGGGACTGTACTTCTGTTTTTTAAGGATAATTGTTGTAACATATTATTGAATTATTCGTCGTTTAACAGTTGCAACAATAAAGGTGATTTTTCTGTTGTTAATGGCTTAACTTGAGAATAATCCAAGCTGAAAATGGCTGGTGGCTGTGAGAACAGGAGAATAAATTAAGGGAGTTTGTGGCCAAAGTGCTTGTGTCTGTATTAATGTGGATGCAGCTCCTGCTCTCAGGGACCAGTGTCCAGATGCTGTGCTCCTTCCCTTCCTTAAGGGATGAAGCTATTTTGGGAGTGGGAGGAGAACAAGGGAAATGGTATGATGGTTGATCTACTTAAATTCATAACTTGAGCCTGTTTTCAAATTCAAGTCTAATGAAAAGCATCAGAAAACTGAAGAATGTGGCTGCAGCCCGACAGTGGGGGATAACAAATAACACTTAATCAGGTAAGTAAATATTGAAAGCCCTATGTATATAGTTTAAAAGAGGTTATATTCAGCAAAAATCATGATTTAAAAACATTTTATACACCTCCCTCTGCTCTAGCCTGTGGAATGCATGTTGCGACTGAGGAGTAAATGCTACCTGCCACTTCTTACCTGGGCCATCTCTGGCTCCCATTCTCCTAGTCTGCATTTACTTCTCTGGCTCACATCTTGTCTTGGTTAATGTGAGCAATTGGTTTTAAGATATGTAGCCTTGGTGAAACAAAAGGTGAGTTATAAAGTCTTCATTTTTTTAATAACAACTTTATTCTAGTTCCCTCTCTATGGGCCCCTTGATGACAGCATGTCTGATACGTGCTTCTAGTTTTGCACTGCAACCTGAGAAGACAGTGAAATATCAGGCATCTTTGTGGGAGAAAGCTGTGGTGAGTGAGATTTTGTGGCCATCTGCTGAGGGACCATCTCTGCATCTCTAGGTGCATGAGGCTGTGTGTGTGGTTGGAGGCAAGGAAGGCAGTTGAAGTGTTGAGAGTTACGGTGCTCAAATGAGGGCTTTGGAAAGGGACTTGGGGTTGGGTAAAACTAGTGGTTTATGCACCCAGAACCGGGGTGGGTTGCTAAGAATTGTTATTAACTTGTATGGGAATGGGAATTAATCCCAAAGATGCTTTCATGCTCTGAGTAAGAGGGTGAGCAGACCTGCTGCTCCACATCTGGCTGCCTGATGCTGGTACCTTGGTGAAGCTTATGCAGGACTTTTGTAGTTCATGCCAAAGCCATAAAAACAGCATAACATCCATCTCTATGTAACAATCCTAAAGCCAATTTTTCATTAGTAGAGGCTAAACACAGGAATGAGGAGGAAGAAGCTGCTTTTTCTCATTTAATGTGTGTGATCAAAAGCTTAGTTATTTCTAAGTGGAGTGATTTAAAACATAAGTGACTGCTGGAATGACTTCATACCAGAAAGCACATGTGAATGTTGGAGAAATCTCCATATTTTGCCAGTTTGTCTCCCTGTTATCCTGAGAAGAGAGAGGTTGATTTCTAAGTTCCTATAAATGAGTGCCCTGGCCTGCAGAAGGATGGTTTTGCATATAGTTAAGAAGTCGCATTCTGCTGTACACATTCTTTGTCAAGAGGATGCTAGCAGGGAACTCTCAGGTCTTGGTAATATCAAAATAATCCAAAACCAGATGCAGAACTAAAACGGGTCATGCTTTGCTCTTTTGAACTGGCAACACCCATCTGTGTATGTGAGTCCTTGGGAACTTACAGATGTTTGGAGCAAAAATGAGTTTGGCAGAGAGACCACTTCTGGGAACCTTTCTGGTAAAAGTTTTGCTTGATTTTCTATGGCTGTGTTTTGCGAAACTTTGGGAATCCAACTGACTTCCAAGAACCAATGGAGTCATCACATTAACACAAATACTCAGAAGACTTACTCTGAAATAGATTTGGGCAGATTTCTTAGATTTCTTCAAAGGAGAAGTGTTCAGGCAAGAGGTCTTGACTCTTGCAAGGTGACACAGATTAACAAGTTTTCTTCCTTTTTTTTCCCCCTTCTTTTCCATCACTTAGAAGTATTAGGATAAATAAATGGAAAGTAATGGTACTGCCAGGAGCCATCCAATGCATTGAATCCTGAGCTGCCTGAGGTGTAATCATTCCTGCTGAAACTTGTCAGCAGAACTCCCTGGTATGCAGGCACCATCGCAGGCAGCAGTATTTCACTAGCCATTGCATTCATCATCCAACTGGAGGATTAGGGCTATAGCTATTAGTGTATACAGGTGTTGTGGTGGGCTTTTACCACTGTAAGAGCGGTAATTACTTTGATTTTTAAAGCGTGCCCAAATCATAAACAAACATTGCTGACATTTCATGGCAGGAGACAAGCTTTAAATAGGATAAATGGGTTTTGAGCGTGTTGTATAGGTCATCGTAACCTAAAGTAATGAATCTAGATTAACAACCTTAGTGGAAGTAATTGCTGTAATATAGATAGTCTACATAGGTTTAATGCCTGGGTTACGTAGGTTAAACAAGCCTAAGTCTATATGCCTGTCCATCTTGTTGCCTTTGGCTGTGGAAAGAGTGCTGAACTATTTCAAAATAGAAGATGAGAGTTGAAACCAAGATCAAGGGATGTGAGAAAGAAAGATCTAAAGAAAACATGAGGGCAGTAAGTACAAATGACAGTGAGAGGAGTGTAGGAAGTAAGTAAGCGTGGTGATGCTAGAAAGAAGGGCCTGAGCAGGCTCAGATCTGCTGGCATGCCATGCTCTGGGTCATGGTGACCTGCCCTCTTTCTAACACACCTTCTCTATCACCTCAACACCTGACTTTAGAAAGTGCTATTGAAGAGACTGAATGAGTGGTTATAAAATTACCCCCTTCAAAGCCCTTCTAGTGTTACTTGCTCTCATAGCATCCCATTCCCCAAAGCCCTGGGACAGATGTCGTGACCGGAGTTGGCAGCAGGGATGGGGCAGCTGCTCAGCAATGCTCCCAGCTCAATGCACTCCCACTG